ACACCCAAGGTGGCCTCCTTCCCTTCTTCCCACTCATCCTCCTCCTCCTTTATCCTCCTCCTCCTCCTCCTCCTCCTCCTCCTCCTCCTCCTCTTCCTCCTCCTCCTCATCCTCCTCCTCCTCCTCTTACTCCTCGCCCAAGGGTTGCCACAACGGCTGGGGGAAGAGAAGGTCCAACCCTTTAGCCCAACGTTTGGCCTCACTGGCGCTTCCAAAAGGCAGGGGGGCGGCGGTAGTTCGCCATAAGCGTCTTCGATACCGGGGCTTCGACCGCGCGGCCTCTCGCGCGACCGAGCATGGCCTCGAGCAGCGCCGCCTGTCATGCGGCCTGACTGGACACCCATGTCCAGTGCATCCTGGAATTGGAGGCCTGGAAATGGGCACCAACACCAACACAGGGGGTTGCCTCCACAGGGGAAGGTGATCCTAGATTTTGGTGTTGGTGGTAATATTTCGGCCACCTTGGAAGCCAGAATATTACCACCATCACCGAGATCGGGATCTTCTTCCCTCGGTGGAGGCACACCGCCGAAATTGGTGTTGGTGTCAACCTCTAGGCCTGCGATGGAACCTCGGGCTCCCTTCCCCCAGACGCCCGGGGCGCACCGGATGTGGATGGGAACCTGCCCCCCTGGAGGCTATAGATGTTTGTCCAGGTCCTCGCTGCGCCTCTGACCCGGGTCAATCCAGACCTTTGTGGGCCCCGGAAACGGCAGGGCCGTTTTTTCACCGCTTCCAGAAAAATGTCCCTTGACAATGGAAGCGGCAGAACAACGGCGACCGGAAACGGGAAAAAAACGGCTCCGGGACTGGAGCCGGAGCCGGAACCGGTCAAACAACGGCGACGGAACCGGTAAAAAAACGGAACCGGTAAAGAAACGGCAAAACGAAACCGGTAAAAAAACGGCCCTGTTGTTTCCAGGGCCCACTAAGATCCAGACCCAGGTCAGCAGGAAACCAAAAACTGCAATGCATAAAAAAACTGCAACGCAGGTCTTCGCAAACCCGGGTCAGCCAATAGGCGCGGCCGCCTCGCGGCCACGAGCGGCTCGCCAACCCGGGTCAGCCAGAGGGGGTCTTCGAAGGATCCTGTAAGATCTGGCGCTCTGGCTGACCCCCGTTTGCATTGACCCCCGTCTCAAGGCTCCCGATGTCCGCTGCGCCTCAGCCTCCCGGGCCCCTTGCCAGAAAGTCCATGACGCAGCGCACGCCCGCCCCGCCATGGACAGAGCCCGGGATGCCGGAGGATGTCGACAGCCCCGGGGGCCGCGCCCGCCAAGACAATGCCCCCCAAGAGGCTCCAGAAGGCCCCCCGGGGAGCCAGGGACGCCCCCGCACCCCAAGAGGGCCCCCGCTGACGCAGGCCGGCAATAGGCCCCAATATGTCCCCAGGATGTCCCCGAGAGGCCCCTCAGACCGCCGCGCGGCGCAAGAGAGAGCGAGAGAGAGATGCATTCCGGCGTCCGACATCTGGCCGCGAGGCATCGAATCAAGCGCCCTCAAGTCTTCAAGGGCCGCAAGGCCCAGGTGCCGGAAACTCCGCGGCGCTCGCGCGCGATCTGCTGGGCCTCGTGGCTGAGATGCTCAACTTCCTGCGGGCAAGAGCCTTTGCTCTGCGTGTCGCGGCGGCGGCCGCTGCGACGCGCGATGCCCTGCAAACTGGTGGCGCGTCACTCCCCTCCGCCAGGCGGGGGGGCTGGGACTTTGTGGGCCCCGGAAACGGCAGGGCCGTTTTTTTAACCGTTTCCAAAAAAATGCCCCTTGAAAATGGAAACGGCAGAAAAACGGGGACAGGAAACGGCAAAAAAAAAACGGCTCCGGGATTGGAACCGGAGCCGGAACTGGTCAAAAAACGGCGACGGAACCAGTAAAAAAACGGCGTCGGAACCGGTACAAATACGGCAAAACGGAACCGGTAACAAAACGGCCCTGTCGTTTCCAGGGCCCGCTAAGGTAGGAGAACATGCCCGACCTAAGATAGGCCCCTTGTTTCGATTATGTTTGGCTCTGCTTGCATACGTTTTGACATGTTTTTGGGGGTATCTCGTCCAAGATCCGCCCGTAGGAGAACATGTCCGACCTAAGGTACAGTCGGGCCGCGGGCCCGACCTAAGGTACAGTCGGGACCGCGGCCTGGTTGGCGTGCCGCGCCGGAGCGTGGTGGGCCGGAGCTGGCGGAGCGACGCGCTACGCAAACGCTCATGGCCGCACACGACTGAAAGGGGCCCAGGGACAACCAAATAATGACACACACGCACACACACACATACACACACACACACGCACACATCCCAAGATTTCCCATGTTTGCTGTTCATCGTTTTGGCATTCTCGTCCTCCCCCCACCTCCCATATTTGTTTCTCATTTTTTCGAGGGGGCTCGACAACTGATTGTGTCTGTGTGCCTCTGTCCCCTCCGAATGACACTAGGTGGCCCCGAGGGTGCGCGCTGGAGCCCTCCTGCGGCACTGCGGGCAAAGCGGCCCTTCTCCGCCGAAGCCCGCGCCGCGCCCGCGCCCGCCGCGCGCGGCGCGACGCACGACCCCCTTCCTCAGAGATCCTCTGGAGGG